TTGATTTTTGGTGTTTTGAATATTTTTGTAACGTTGCTTTCTCTCTCTTAATTTCTCTCTCTTCTTTTCTCTCTCTTCATTTATGTGGTTTTCTGGGTTCTTCCATTGAAGAACGACTCATTTCTTCATTCTCTCTCTTCAAATTGAGCAAGTTGGGGTTGAAAATCGCCGGAAAAATTGTTGATTTTTGTTGTACGTGTTCGAACGAATCAAAGCCCTCAACTAATTTTGTGAATCCGCCCTTTTTAAAGGTGATAGGTATCCTTTTTTTCGATTTCCTGTATATTTAATTTTTGCAATTTTCTGTTCTGAGTAATTTGATTATATGGGGTATTTCTTGATTCTTTATGATGTTTTACTGAAATAATTACATTTTTGGGATTATTTTTGCCGATGTTTAATTCTTTGCCATGGATCTTGATTTCGTTCAATGCTATGGTGTATGATTTGGATTTAAAATATCTTCCCCTAAATCATGATTATATTGTGAATATTTTTGTTTGCGATTTTATATATTTGCCCTAGAGTAAGGTTATTTGTTCAATTTTGTGAATTAGGGTTTCACTGTTCACTTGAATTAGGGTTTCACTGTTCACATGATTTAGGGGTCACTGTTCAATTGCATGTATATTTATCTATTCAATTGCATGTATACTTCACTATTCAATATATGAGAGCTATGACTTATGAAACAATGTTAGAGGTTTAGTTATGTATTGTTGACATTGTTATAACATGAGTCCTTTTGTTTGAATGCTTCGAAATAGGAACAACGGACCCATTGTTATGCATCTTGAGTGATTTTATACTCATATACTCATGTTGGTTTGATGTGTGGTTGTCTTTAGTACTTGTGTACTCATATAATGATATTGGTTTGATGTGTGGTTGTCTTAAGTACTTGTATACTCATATAATGATATTGGTTTGATGCGTGGCTATCTTGAGTACTTGTATACTCATATAATGATATTGGTTTGATGTGTGGCTGTCTTGAGTACTTGTATACTCATATAATGATATTGGTTTGATGTGTGGCAATCTTGAGTACTTGTATACTTATATACTCATGTTTGTGTGAGGTGTGGCTGTCTTGAGTACTTATATACTCATTTAATGATATTGGTTTGATGTGTGGCTGTCTTGAGTACTTGTATACTCATATAATGATATTGGTTTGATGAGTGGTTGTCTTGAGTACTTGTATACTCATATAATGATATTGGTTTGATGTGTGGATGTCTTGAGTACTTGTATACTAATTTAATCTTGCTGGTTCCATGTTTGGGTGTCTTGTTTGCTTGTATACTCATACACTCATGTTGGTTTGATGTGAGGTTGTCTTGAGTGATTGTACACTCATTTAAACATGCTGGGTCAATGTGAACTCATTTAAACTTGGTTTTTTGATGGTTAGCTATCTTAATTGGTTACATGTTGATTAAGCCATGATTGAGTGAGTCCCCTGGTTTCTTTTCAGGTTGCTTGTGACCATGAGTCAGTCCCCTGGTTCAAAAGAATCACACTCTCATCACACTCACAGCTATGAAATGTATAGAAAGCAGAAGGCAAGCAGAGAAGAGGTTGATAAACCATCTAATTCTCCAGCCAAACCACCAAAATCTCCAGCAAAACTCCCATCTACCTCTAATGTGAAAGCTCCTGCCAACTTTCCTGTCAAACCCCGTGTTCCCATTCCTTTGGACCAACAAACTAGTTCACTTGCTGACAGGACATTTGCTGATTCCAGATCACACTACACATCTGAGTCCTACCACTGCACTAACCGTGACTGTGAAGGCAGTGGCTGTGATGGGGAGCACAGTTACAGCAATGAGACTTTGAGAATTAGATTTGGAATTGTCTCAACAGGAATGCCTCCTGCAGACTCTGACTATTGGCCTCATAATTGGTACAGAAGGCAATGCAGGAAGAAGGGTTTGCCAAGACCCTATGACAATGTTGACTCAGACTTCTCAGACTCCAATGATGATGATAGTGGTTGCTCCCCTTCTAAGTTGCCTATGTCCCAGAGAAAGGATTCTGATAATGAATCTCACAGCTAAGTTTCAGAATGACTTGGTGTTATTTGTTGTGGTTTCTTTTGTTTTCTAAGATTGGGGATAATTGAATGTGATGGTTGGTTGTATTTAGAACATGATGATTATCTTGTTGGTTTTTTTTTTGTTTTTTTTGTTGCTGTTGATGATGATGATCTTTGGTAGTCTTGTTGATATGCTCTTTTGGGTTGGGTTTTAATTTTGTTGCCTATTATCATGATATGTTGGTTGGATATGCCTTGTTGGTTGCCTATGTTGGTTGGATATGCCTTGTTTGGATATGCCTTGTTGGTTGCCTAAAATTGTACTTGTATACTCATGTTGGTTTGATGTGTGGCTGTTTTGAGTACTTGTATACTCATGTCGGTTTGATGTGTGGCTGTTTTGAGTACTTGTATACTCATGTTGGTTTGATGTGTGGTTGTTTTGAGTACTTGTATACTCATGTTGGTTTGATGTGTTGCTGTCTTGAGTATATGCCTAGGATGAGGTCTGTGATGATATTTTTTTTGTGCATTTAGAAGGCATATAGGATCTTGTTCATGTCATTTAGACCACAAGGTACCATCTTCCTCAAGGAATCTATAAAGCATGATATAAGTTTTATTTGGCTGCTCAATTTGCTTATTATGATAAAAACTTTAAAATCTGAGACCTTTTGTCATAACATGTCCTTACACTTAGTGTGTTATTACCAATGGGATATATGTTTAGATGTTCAAATTATTGACCACTTCACAATTATCCCATTAGGTAATAAGACATTATGTGAGTGAATGTGATTTGATAAGGTCAATGATGAATGATGGGAGTATGATGTTAGGAGGCATTTTGTTTTTGCCATATAACATGTATTGTGTTTTGGTTTCTTGTTTGGTTAGATGAGATTGCTTGTGTGTCCTTTGTGTGAGCTTGTATTCCACAATATAAGTCTTCAATGATATGCACTAAATGGCCTGAGACCTTGTGTATGTTGTAATTTAACTTATGATACTTATGTTGTTCAACACTTGGGGTGTGTAAGTAGTTTAAACAATGGTATTTACCTATTTATACACTCCATCTGTTGAAACAACATAAGGTGTTGGTTTTATTTGACAATGATGAGTCTTTTTTGTTGAGATGCCCAACTTTAAATGCCCTATCATTCTGCTGTCCTTAGAGAATAACTCAGACTACTCTTGAATTATTTTCTTTGCTGACTATGGATTGTGTGTGGATGTTTGGTTGGTGTGTCAATGATGCTTGGGGACAATCTGAGTTAACAATAAAAGAGTGCAATGACATTTTTAGAGCACTTTGTTTTCCAAAATAAAATGCATGTTTCATTCCATAATAAAGGATTTTTACATATTTATATTCACCTAATGTCTTAAGCAAAAGATAAGAACAAAAAATAAAAATAAACATGCCAAATTTTTTTACACTTGACCCCTATTCACTACTCTGCATTGGCATTTGAAGTAGATTCCTCATGATCATTGGCCATAACAGGCCTATATGCCTCTGTGTTTGGTCTTTCTTCTGTGTTGTGCTCTTCATTTGCTTGTGTGTTGTCAATGTTGACCTCTTCAGTGTCTTGCTCATCATCTGAGTCTGGCTTGTCCATGTACACTCTCTCCCATGCATCAATCACATCCCACATAGGAGCTTTTATAGGATCTTGTATCCTTCCCTCTCTTTCCAACTTATCTTTGTTAACATGTGGAGGTTCAAATCTGTTAGAACCTTTACTTTTCATAATTTGGTTCATTGTGTGGCACAAAGTTACCTACACCTTGAACAGCCTATTAGGAGGTAGCTCACTAAATGCATCTTCAACAGCCTTTATGAACTGGTCTGGTGTCTTAGCCATTTTCTTGTGTAAACCATTTCCTTTTGTTAAATATGACCTATGTGTTTTTTTAGTCAGTATAAACCATTTTTCATCAATATGTACTGTATTGTACATTGACTGGTACACTCTTTTTGTGCCTGGTGAATCTCCTACAATGCTGTTGAGTATGAATCTCAGCTTATCTAATCTGTTTGCTGGTGTAAGCTTTGGCTTTAATGCATTTGTGTGAGGTCTGACTTCCCCTCTCTCAATCAGTCTCTGGATTGTGCTTTTACCAACATCTGTTGCATCAGGGGAAGGAGTTTGGTTTAAGTTGAACCCAATGTTGTCATGGTTATTTTCTGAGTCAATCCCATCATCGTAGGCAAAGTTGAGATCATACTCAAACATTTCAGCATCATTAGCAGCAGCATCTTCATCCATGTCATCATTCAAATTGAAGTCTGAAGCCATTTGGAGTTGGAGGCAATGATGTATTTTGGGTGTCTTTGAAATGTTTTTTTTAAAAAAAAGTGTCAATGTTTTTTCTTGAATTGTTCTCTGTAAAATTCCCTCTCAAATGATTTGAAAATTTGAAAAGGAGTGGTTTTTATAAGGATTTTTGTTTTAACATTAGTCATGAATCCGTGTACTTTCATTCTATTGGATGATGTAATTTTTCAGCTAATTTGATTGGTTAAAAATCAATCACATGGATTACAAATGCATTGCTTTATTTTCATTGGCTGTGTAATAAAGACAAAAAAAACCCAAAGGTTTCTCTTTGTAATACGCCCTTTTTAATGACAGCAACTTTCTCTCTACCTTTTGTTTTGCAAATGATTAGGTTTTAGTTCCCAAGTACTTCATTTATTTCTCCTTAATTCCCGTGATTTTCACCCAAAAGTGACTATCATTCGGGGACGGGGGGAGTAATAATCTTAAATACTTTTATTATAGATTTAGATTAAGAAAATAATTTGTATAAAACAAAAATATCATGCCATACATTAACTATATTCAAGAAGAATAAATAAACAAAAGTATTAGATAACAAAGATGGTATGACTTATCCATTTTATAATGAACTCGAGTTCAATTCTTGACATAAGCATTTTTAAGTTGATATGTTCTAATTCTCCTTGGTGACGTGGCATGTTCTTAGTATAATAGAGGTGTGCCACGTGGCGTGTATTCTTGATTAGAAACGCCTTTTAATATATACTACCTCTCTTTTTCTTCTTTAAACCTTAATAATGTATTCTTTTCTTTTTTTCTTCAATAATTTTATTTAAAAAATAATCATCCCAAAAAATCACAACGGAAATTCCGTCGAATCGTCAATCTGTAAAACGCAGTCGTCTTTCTCTTCCTCCCCAATTCATCAATGGCTTTTACTTACGATCCCTTCAAACAGTAAGCTTCTCATCTCCCTTCAATTCTATCTCTTTTACAACACTACTTAATTTCTGATTTTGGGGTTTTTTTTTTTCCTAATTGTATAAAAAAAAGGGAGCCAATTAAGCAGCAACAACAAAAGAAAAAAGGGCCCAATTTCTTACTCATGCTCCCTCTTATCTACGCTCCTGTTCTTCCTCTCAGTAATTTCCTCTTATTTCTTCTAATTTTTTTTTAATTTTTCTGGGTTTTTGTTTATCTTAATTTTGATTTATTTATTGATTTTGATTTCTGGGTGCAGTTAGAATATCATTGAGGCATAAACCTGTTATTAGGGATCGACTCCGCCGCAACCACCTCCGTCTTATCCACTGTTGGCGCCACCTCTGGACCCACTTCTCTTCCCCACCACAGTACAAATGTCGTCGACCTTCATTTGACAATTTCCAGCATTTCCAAAACCACCATTAATCTCATAATTTCCCAGAGTTCTTCCCCCAAAATTCATAATACGACTTTTTTCCCCAAATTTTGTCCAATTTAGACTACTTCTCCGAAATTCCAATTATTTTGTCCAAAAAAAAAAAAAACCGGCCATTTTTCCAAACATTTTGACATTTTCATCCCCAAAAATCCAACTACATTACTCCCAAAAATTCAACATTGGCTGCTTTTTTTTAAAAAAAAAAATCGTCTTTGGTGTTGCTACCGTAGAGCAACGAAATTCAGAAAAGTGAATTTTTTTTAGAGATTTAATCATCTATGTTTCTTGAGATTTAATCTAATTTTTTGTTGTAAAAAAATTAATTTTGGCTAAAGATTTGAAGAGAAAAGAAGAAGAAATTAGGGTTTAAAGAGGGGAAGGAAAAAAACCCAGATCTGAATATTGAGGAAAGAGAAAGATATTGGAGTAGCTTGGTCTCTAAACTAATAAAAATTAAAGTTTTTTAATAAATTGTGACAAAAAAAATGAGTCATGGTCCCTAAACTATGCTGACTAGGCTAAGTCCCTAAAATATTTGGTCGGAAAGGCTAAGAGTGGTGGTTGAGGGACCAAAAGTGCACAAAAAAGTTGACAGGGACTAAAAGTGCACAAATACAAAAGTTTAGGAACTATATTTTACCTTTACTCTTTAAATTTACATAATTCTAGTATGTTTTATTTTTAAACATGATAAATTTCAATAATACTAATGTGGTATTAAGGCTTCAATTCAATAATACTCCCTCCATCTTTTTATTACATGCCAATATTTCTTTTTTAGGTCATCAAAATTAAGTGTCTGTTTTTATTTATAGGTTGTACTTTTTTACAGTATTATTCTCTTTTTGATAATTTGTCATCCTTTTTTTTTGTACTTTAACACCAATTTCCAATAATTTCTCTCTCCTAATTCCTAACCACTTTTTCTTTCACTCTATCTCTCTCTAACTCCACATGCATAGTTAAACTATTCTCGTACAAAATGAGAAATAGACATATAATAAAAGGATATAGGGAGTACTATATATGGTTTTAATGGTAGACAAAATATACCATTAAATTTAATTTCTCATAAATGACCAAAATGCCCTTACGTTGTATGAGTATATAATAAATTATATCTCCTCCTATTGTCCCCACTCAAACCCGGTGTAGGGAATATTTCAAGCATTACCCCTGCTTGAACCCCACTGTGATCATACATTAAAGTACAGTGGCGTCCAAAGGGAAAGAAGATAGAGCAAAAGAGTCGCCAACAACTTTTAGGAACTTGTAAACCGTTCACAAGGTGAAGGTTACGCCGCTTAACGATCCAAGAGATCGTCAACTCTAATAGGTCTGGAACCATGACTGTTAGTTCGGGTATGAAGGTACAAATCCAACCTAAAAGAGATTGAACCTGCCCTAATAATAGGCCTCTACTTTATTCTGATCGTATTTATGTGCGCTTCCTGACTAACATGCAATCATTAGGTTAACCCTAAACCTGTTTATCTATGTTGGTTGAATATTAATGCACAAATAAACTATTATTAGCAATCACTTGAATTATAATCATATTAACCCTAAACAAAATTATTAATTATCTCATTAAGCGTGATTACAAGTACAAATTTTCTTTAAACATGCATAAAAGATGTGATCAAACAATAACAATGAATATCAAGCAATATAATAAATCATAATAATAATAATAAAAATAATCATGATCATAAATTATAACAATTATAATCATAATTAACATGATCATGTTAAAGCATAATAATAGCAAGACCCTAGGCTTGATACTAACAAGATTAATAACAAACCCTAGCATGTCACTAAACATTAAAAATCAAAGCTTTAGCCCTAACATGATACTAACATGATATTAGGAAAGAAAATAGGAAGCATCACATGAATCATAATAAACATATTTGATATTATAATCTTTTCCCTAAACATAATACTAATAGGAATCATAATAACAACCTAGACATGATACTAGGAATCAAAATAATAACCTAGACATGATGTCTAAAAATCATAATATTAATAAAACCATTAAAGCACTTACTTGGATGTCTCGTATCTCTTTCTAATAACAAAATACACACGTTAGTAACTTCAAGGAAAATAATAATTAAAATAATTAAATTAAATAATTGAAATAAAGATTTGGGACCAAACCCTCAGAAATTAAAACCTTTCAAGTCTAGGGCGAAGGCAACTTCGAATATGGCTAGGTGTATCTAAGTCTTGTGAGTGCGGAATTTTGAATTTGAGAAAATGCTAGTTTAGAAAAGAGAGAGAGAATAATCAAGAATTTCTTGATGAGAGTTGGTGAGAATTGATGATTGAAAACGGAGTTTTTAGAAGACTATTTACAAAGAAAATCAGCCAAAAAGATAAAAAATCGAAATAGAGTTCTGATGCGCAAAAACGAGGTTAGCGCCACTGACATTAGCGCCAGGCGCTAACGCTAGCGCCAGGCGCCAAGCTTAGCGTCAGACGCTAATGCTGGCGTTTGGCGCTGACTAAATGATTGACGCGTTTTCTAAAATCAGATAGAAATTGATCATACAGGAGGATAAAATCGTATTTTCCTCAAAAACATTCTTTTATTCTGATTAAAACTCTATAAAGTCAACAAAAGTCAATTTATCAATGCTAATTGAATTAGGAATGAAAAGAACCTTCTAGAAGAATCTAGAAGACTAAAACCATTCCTAATTGCATTAGGAATGATAAATCTATATTAGGCCATTCTCTAGATCATTGGGCCGCATATAAGGCTCAAACCGGGCCCAGTTTAGTAATTTGGCCATAACTTCCTCAATATTCATCGGAATTGGGCTTATAATATATCATTGGAAAGCTCTTTTCAAGCCTATCCAACTACACTACTATTAGACCCATATCATGGACTAACCAAATCGGATTGGCTTTTTTCTTAAAATAGGTTTTCAAAAACAGAGAGAAGAGAACAAAAATTAAAACTATCCGCAACACTAAACTTTTCACACTTTCACTTCACTCAATTAAGATTCGACGTGAAAGGTACTCATCACCGGGTTTGGTTTTGGGGAGACACAAATGGGTGTCTACAGAAGCCCCCGCTTTGACTGAGTTTGGAGAAACGCACGTTTTGAAAACGAAAGTCAAAGTATCGATTGGGACGGAGAATGATTCAGAACGTTCTGCGATCCTAAATCACTCTTGTAACGCCGATACCTGCAAAACTAGCGTTAGTTAAAACAGATAAAAGAGTTAAAAAAATGCGTATCTTGCACCGTCGAGCACACATCTCTAGAGGTAATCGATTTGTTGCTGCATTGTTGTATTTGACGTGATAACCTTCCACAATCTAGGGAACGCCATCTTGCTGCTTGTTTTGACGATCTTCCGCAATCTAGGGAACGTCGTCTATCAATATTGCTACATCTCGAGCCTTTTCTTGAATCATAGTGACAACCTTTCCAATCATAGCAAAAGTCGTCGAAGACTGCATCATCACGAACCGTCCTCAAATCTTGGCGACAACCTCCACAATCTTAGCGAATGCCGTTGAAGACTGCCCATCTCGTGCTATCTTCTCAAATCTTGGTGACAACCTCCACAATCTTAGCGAATGCCGTCGAAGACCGCCCATCTCGTGCTATCTTCTCAAATCTTGGTGACAACCTCCACAATCTTAGCGAATGTTGTCGAAGACTGCCCATCTCGTGTTATCTTCTCAAATCTTGGTGACAACCTCCACAATCTTAGTGAATGTTGTCTAAAAATAACCTCTCTTGAAGTCATCCTCAGTTGTTGCGATAATATTCCGAATAAAACTACCGAAGACCAATGCTTGTCGATCCTTAAAGCTCGCTTGAACTTTGCTTTAGCCGGTGCGTCGGCGCTTCTGCTGCTTGTAAACCAGTATGTCGGTACTTTGAATTGTGAACCTATATGTCGGTGCTGTGAACCATTACGTCGGTGCTTCTGAAACCAGTATGTCGGTGCCTTTGTGATGAGTCAATGTTTAGGCGCTTTAAGCTTAGTGAGATGATCTTTCGTCAGGTCGATCACTTATTTGCAGTTGTAATCAAATCGACTACTCAATCATGTCAAATTGCTTATAGGGGCTAACTGGCGTACCAAGGAACCCGAAATTGCTGTTCTGAGAGGCTTCGAGCTTTGTCGCTGCTGAAATATCTCCGGCGCCGCGATTTTGCTCTGTCGCTAGACGTTGGGATCTAGCGCCAGGCGCTGAACTCTCCAGACGCCAGATGTTGTTTCCAGAAGACAACCTTGTCGTCTAGTGCTGGAGTCGGGTCTTCCCTATTCTGCTCTTTCTGCCCCTATTGCTCGGTTTCGCTCTGAACTTTAAGCTTGGTCGTTTCCTTTCAACCAAATCCGCTCAAGTCTTTTGTAAATTAAAGCTCTTAATATCTAATTTACCGAATGTAACTCCTCCTATCTTGGAGGAATCTCCTGTGTCATATTCGCGGTTTTTTTCAAAAAAATTCGGGAATGTCCCCGCTTGCTAGGATGCACCTGCATTTATATCTTTGACTATAGAATTTTTCTTGTATTTCTATAGGGTTGACCTAAGGTTTAGTGTTGCTTAACTCATTGACTTGACATGACTCAAGGTATAAACTTGACTCGAGGTTGACTCGACTCGAAGTGAAATGACACGTGTGACTCATGACTTGTGTGTGCATTGTATTGTGATCGTGCGACTCGAAAATGCAAAAAAACAAAAATTTTCCATCATTTTTGTGGAGGGTACTGACTTTCTCTCGAAAAAGAAAGACGCGAAAAAGAATCAAAGTTTTTGAAGGCATGTTGAATGAGCTTAGTCAAATGTTTTGCAATGGATTAATTCATCCTAGGCTATCTCAATTTTTGACTCCATGATGAAATTATTTGGGTAACTAATTAGGCACGGAGGCTAAGCACTTCATACTTCGTGATGCAATGATGATTGATGAGTGATGTGACAAGGCATGGTTCAACGTTGTGTTAAGATTCCATGACAAAGAGTTCCTAATGGAAGTATATTTGGTCATGTATCTGTGCGATGTGTGAAAGTGATACTAAAGTTAGGCCGCAAAGGCTAAGTGTGTGGAAAATATATTGAAAAGAGTCAAATAATGGTGACTCTTTAGGCTAGGTAAGCTAATGATGTAAGGATCAAGCCCCCAAGTCTAGCTCTAAGTAGATAGGGATGAGCATTGGAGATCCCTTGATATGATCATGGTGTAAGTGTGTGAATGTGAATATGAACGCATTTTTATTACGGCCGCACCTCGATGTGAGGTTGCCTACGTATCCGTTAGGAATCAGGCCGAACGTAGCTCTAGCCGAACCTCGCACAAGTGTGTGTATACCTCAAAAAG